GTGTTGTTTTACTAGCTGTAGTTGAGTGTTACCTTTACTACAGTGTCTTATTGTGTTGTTTTACTAGTTGTAGTTGAATGTTACCTTTACTACAGTTTGTTATTGTGTTATTTTACTAGTTGTAGTTGAATGTTACCTTTACTACAGTTTGTTATTGTGTTATTTTACTAGTTGTAGTTAAATGTTACCTTTACTACAGTTTGTTATTGTGTTGTTTTACTAGCTGTAGTTGAGTGTTACCTTTATTACAGTGTCTTATTGTGTTGTTTTACTAGTTGTTGTTGAATGTTACCTTTACTACAGTTTGTTATTGTGTTGTTTTACTAGTTGTAGTTGAATGTTACCTTTAGTACAGTTTGTTATTGTGTTGTTTTACTAGTACAGTTTGTTATGTGTTATTTTACTAGTTTTAGTTAAATGTTATCTTTAGTATAGTTGGTTATAGTGTTGTTTTACTAGTTGTTGAATGTTATCTTTATTACAGTTTGTTATTGTGTTGTTTTACTAGTTGTAGTTGAATGTTATCTATAGTACAGTTTGTTATAGTGTTGTTTTACTAGTTGTAGTTGAATGTTATCTTTACTTCAGTTTGTTATTGTGTTTCACTAGTTGTAGTTGAATGTTATCTTTAGTACAGTTTGTTATAGAGTTGTTTTACTAGTTGTAGTTGAATGTTATCTTTACTACAGTGTGTTATTGTGTTGTTTTAGTAGTTGTAGTTGAATGTTACCTTTAGTACAGTTTGTTATAGTGTTGTTTTACTAGTTGTAGTTGAATGTTATCTTTACTACAGTTTGTTATAGTGTTGTTTTACTAGTTGTTGTTGAATGTTATCTTTAGTACAGTTTGTTATTGTGTTGATTTACTAGTGGTAGTTGAATGTTACCTTTAGTACAGTTTGTTATAGTGTTGTTTTACTAGTTGTTGTTGAATGTTATCTTTAGTACAGTTTGTTATTGTGTTATTTTACTAGTTGTAGTTGAATGTTACCTTCACTTTTTTTATTAGGTCCTCCATAACATGTCACTGTGGAGTTGTAAAGAAAAGAAATTAGGTGTAGAACAGACTAAGTCAGACACAGGAAAGGGAACAAAGGACATCAAACTGGTAAGAATCTCAAACACTGGATAGGTAAAAATCTGTTTGCTGATCTATCTAAGAGACATGGTATGAAAGACATGGTTGACAAGAGGATGTGATGATGAGAATTGTTACTTGAGTTTATGTTTGTGATTAAGAGAGGTATATATATCTTCATTGCTATGATGACTTCATAATGACTTTTCAGTTTGGTAGACAGGGTTGGCAAGAAGGCATAATCTGTAAGAATTTTAATATTGGAAGGAAGACACACATGTTCGAAACGTCATAATTACATAATGTGTCTTGCATAGTAAATGTTTACATACCTAACATAAAAAATGTCTTAAAAGAATGTCAGATTATTATTTTTTAACAGTTTAGTTCTTCATAGAAGTATTTCAAAGATTTATTTTTCTACAAGGCTCCAGGTTATTTCTCAGTACTTATTTAATAGTAGACATTTTTAGGAATGATTTTGCTTGTCAGTTTGTTTAGTTGTGCTGGCCGGATTTATTTTCTAAGTGTAAATATTTTCTTCAAAGAAAAAGTAAAGATTTAGCTACATGCATTTTTAATAGTAGGTAAATAAAAATAAAGTTTACACCCACTATTATCGAATAAGTTTTCACACTTTCACTTGTCCTCTTCAATCAAACTTTGACTGAAGAGGACACATGAAAGTGCCAGTTTTTTGTTCCATATTAGTGGATCTAAACTTTATGAATTTTTATTCTAGTACAAAAGTCACTTGTGCTTCAGTTCAGGAAAGGTTACGTAGAAAGAAAGATTTCCTAAATAAGTTTTTTTTTGGTCTGTAGGGTCCGTTTGAAGCACTTCGTAGAATCTTTTCTGCAGAAGAAACCAAAAACATGAACATCCATGACAAAAGCAATTTGTTTTTCCAAGACTACTCATTGGTGCCCTTGTTTGTTCAGGAGAACTATCTTCAGGTGAAACCCCTGGGAGCAAAGTAAGTTTACACTGTACTTCTATAATGTATCACTTGTGTAAAAGTGAAGTTTGTAGTTTGGGAAAGAAACTACCTTCAGGTGAAACCCCTGGGAGCAAAGTAAGTTTACACTGTACTTCTATAATGTATCACTTGTGTAAAAGTGAAGTTTGTAGTTTGAGTAAGAAACTACCTTCAGGTGAAACCATTAGAAGCTGAGTAAGTTTACACCGTACTTCTATAATGTATCACTTGTGTAAAAGTGAAGTTTGTAGTTTGGGTAAGAAACTATCTTCAGGTGAAACCCCTGGGAGCAAAGTAAGTTTACACTGTACTTCCATAATGTATCACTTGTGTAAAAGTGAAGTTTGTAGTTTGGGAAAGAAACTACCTTCAGGTGAAACCCCTGGGAGCAAAGTAAGTTTACACTGTACTTCCATAATGTATCACTT